CCCCAAAACCCCAAAACCCCAAAACCCCAAAACCCCGTTAAGAGATCGTTAATAAGAAATATTCAGAATAAATATTTAAATAAAATTAACATGAGTTCTATTGATGAACGTGAGGATAGGCAAGTTCACCAAAATGTTCGTGTTTTTAACAATGGTTTAGTAAGCATGATCCTGAGATGCAGAGTCAGCAGAAGGACAAGGATAAGGAGGAGGTGACCCCCCAGCCTCAGAAAGTAGCAGGGATCGGTGTCTTTATGTGTGCTCTGACTCTTTTGGGGACCAGACTTGGAGGAGGGATAGTAGGAATTCCTGGGGCTAATAAGACAATTGGGTATGCAACTTTTCAGAGTATTATGTCAGTCTATGTGTTTATGGGCATGTTTTCGGTCTGGATGTTGTTCAGAGTGAGGGAAATTACAGGCAAAGCTTCTTATTCAGACCTTGGGATATATTTGTTTGGACCGTGGAGTATTTACTTTATCAACGCAGTAGTAGCACTTGCTCAGCTCGGTTTCCCAATTATATTCTTTATTGTGTTTGGAGATGTCGCTAAAAGTTTGATTCATGAGATCAACCCAGAAGCAGGTGAGTTCTGGACATCAAGATGGTTCACGCATTCTCTTCTTGCAGTTTTAATGTTGTATTTGGTTCTTCAGAAGGAGATACAAAGCTTGAAGTATGCTGGGTTTGTCCTACTAGGAATGATTTCAGTGTTCATTATATTACTTTTCTTGCACTTTTTGGTATCAGATCCAGATCCTGATCCAAGTGAGGACTTGGCAGAAACTACTGTCGACGTAGAATTTCTTTCTAAGTTGCCTACAATGGTTTCTTCTTTTTCATTCCAGCCATCTTTATTCACTGCGTTCGCTTCACTCAAAAATAAAACCACTGCAAATGGATTAAAAGCTGGCTGGATTGCAATTTGGGTAGCATATGTTACATATACTATCACTCCATTGCTCGGTTTCGGTCTTTTTGGAGAAGAAGTCGAATCTAATCTGCTCAAGAATCTAGCAGGAGACTCCAGAACACTCCCGATTATTCTCCAAATTGTTTTTTTGATTATTGCCATCGTGCATATTCCAATTATATTTTTTATTGGCAAAGAAGCTGCTTTGATAATTTTTGATGAAGCAACTAGAGGGAGTTACTCAAAGCAAAGCGGGAAACAAAAGGTTCAGGCAGACCCTTCTTCTGAGAAAGAATCTGTTCATGAAGAAAACAAGGATGACCAATTTGAAAAAGATGAAGAAGAACAAGAAGGAGGTGACGAAAATTCGCCTGTTCATGAATCTAATCAGAAATCGATTCATGAATTAAAATCTGATATAAAAGAAACGGTGAATCCAAAATATCAACCAAGTATGTCCCATTCCTCAGAAGTTCCTAACAAAAAGGTAAAAGAGAGCACAGATGTTAAGCTAACCAACCCCAAAGAGTACCTCAACATGCATCCGGGATTCTATTACATGGTCACCATCATCTGCTACTTCGTCGTTGTTATCCTTTCTATTGTTGTCGGAGACGTCTCAGTGTTCTTCGGGCTGATCGGAGCAACTGCAGGCTGTTGGAACATCATTGCAGGCCCAGCATCATTCTACGTGATTGCAATCCACAAGCACAAAGTTCCCCTCGACACCTGGCAGTCAAAACTGAGCTACATCATTGCCTGGATATATTGCATCCTAGGCTACGGATGCATGATTGTCTTCAACATCTGAGTAATTTTAGAAGCATAATAATCACCACAATCTACACCACTCTCAATCACCTATTGCCCAAACGGGGTTTTGGGGTTTTGGGGTTTTGGGG